GTCGAGGGGGTCGGGGGACTCGGGGCGTGACTGACTCGGCTTCGTCCGCAGGAACGCTTCCGTCTTCGGCTGGACAATCCGACGCGCCCTGGTTGCCATCCTCTTCCCCTCTTCCTTCCCGTCGCTTGCTCTCTTCGTCGCCGGCGGCAATGGCTTCGTCTTCCGCAACTTCCCCTTCTCGACTTTCTTCCACCCTTTCTCCTCCTCTTCACTCTTCTCCCCTTTCCTCTCTTTTTTGTTCATCGATGCCACTACCTTTGCCACCGGGAACGCTTCCTCAGTCTCGTCCGCCCAGGACTTGTCTGCCTCGCTCGGCGTCGACTCGAAGTCGATGATCGGCATGGTGCGGTACTGGGTTGGGCGGTCGACGAGCGGCGTGGGAACGTGCGACCATATGCCGCTGGTGGTGTCGAACTCGAGGAAGGGCGAAGGGGATTGGCGGCGGGCGGCAAGTGTCGGGGAGAGCGGCGAGTCGCCAACGAGGAGCATGTTGGAAGTGGATGATGCGGACGCTCCTGTTGAGGGCGTCAGGTCGATGCGGTAGGGGTTGTTGGTGGGCGCGTGGAGCGAGGGCAAGTGAGGTGCGTCCTTCGGTTCTGCGGATGGAGAGGGTTCCTCGCTAACGCGGGTCTCAACTCCGTCTGACTTCGCAGGTGCGTGTAGCGCCGGGGCTGCATACTCGACTTGAGGGTGACTTACTTGCTGACGCATTGCACCTGCAGGAATCGTCTTCTTCTCAAGACCAGCTCTGACGATGTCGGTCCCGGGCTTTTCGATGGGGACATCGGCGATCGAGGGGTCGGCGTCGCCGGTCGACGGCTTCTCGATGATGCGGTGGGGTTCGTTGGAGAGTGCGCGGAGCGACGGCAAGCCGGGTGCGTCCATCGTCTCTGTGGTGGAAGAAGGTTCCTCGCTAATGCGGGTCTCAACTCCGTTTGACTTTGCAGGTGCGTGTAGCAGTGGGGGTGCATACTCGACTGGAGGGTGACTTACTTGCTGACGCATTGCACCCGCAGAATCCGGGATCTCGTCAAGAACAACGCCGAAGTCGTCGCCGACGGATCGCTCGATGGCAAAGTTGGAGAGTTCGGGCGGGAGGCTGGGCTCGAACGGATTCGAGGGCGTAGAGGAAGTTGTAGTGATTGTAATGGGCGTGTTGCAGCCGTTCCCGACGAGCGAGGACGAAGTTGCGAGCGAGCCCCCGCCGGACTTAGCGAGAAGCGCGCGAGCCGGCTCGTCCTTCTCCTTCTTCTCCTCGCTCTTCTCCCGCTTCTTCGACTCGTACCCATCTGCTGGGCCCTTCTCCATGCTCTTCGACTCGCCCAGCGCCATCCTCGCGCTGCCCGCCGTCCTCTCCACCGGCTTGCCCGCTTCCGCCTCGTGCGTCATCTCTTTCTTTCCCCTCGCCTTCTCGCACCTCGCGCAGACCGTGGGGGCAAGCCAGAGTCGTCCTTCGTCCTTCAGGAAGTTGCTGACGTGCTCGTTGTTCCACAGGACCACCATGTACGACCCGAACAACGCGCCCGACTTCCTCGAAGGCAGCGCTCGGACGCTCCGCACGGCTCCGACTTCTCCCATCCTCCTCTCCATTGCCTCAACAATCTCATCCTCCGCTTCTTCGGTTCTCGGGCCGCCATGTACGACCAGACCGAACAGGGCGAGAGGGGTGGCGGGAGCGAAACCGGCGGCGGCGGCTGTGGAGCGGAGGAAGGATGCGGCTGCGGCGTCCGGGAGATGGACCAGTACGTCTCCTCTGTTCGTTCGGCGTACTGGCATGGAGGCTGGGATGCCGAGAGTCTGCCGGACTCGGGCAGTTGTGAGGGAGGGTTGGGCGTAGAGGTGGACGAGGTGGCTGGCATTGGGGGCAGGTTCGGTTGCGGTCTTCTTAGGCGGCGCCGGGGAGGGCGAGGGTCGCGGCCAGGGCGTGGAGAGGGGAGGGGACGCTGCGATCTCGGCGAAGGACCGGTCTGCGGCGTCGTAGGTGTCCTCGAGCGGTTGAGGGGGGGTGGTGGGTGGAGTTGGCGGCGTCGCGCCGGCGGCGTCTCTGGAGGCTTTGAGCGCTTCGAGTTCGATGCGGAGGGGCTGTATGTGCACTTGGATGCGCTCGTCAACCGTCTCGAGGGTCAAGACGGGCGGCGAGGGCAGGGTAGTCGCGTCGGGGCGCGTCGGTTTCGAGGCAATGGCGACGCTGTTTGGGGCGGGCTTGGCGGGCGTGGGTGTGCCGGTACGAGCCGAAGCAGCAGGTCGAGGCGTGGTAGGAGCGGCAGAAGCTAACAACTCGTACTCGTCGCGCAGGACCTTTGCCGCCTTCAGCAAGGTGGGGCACCCAAATCCTTTGCCCTCCAGCTCGCTCAGAGCGGCTTGGAGGGTGCGGATCTGGGCTCCAACCCGTTCAAAAGCGGCTTGAGTCAGGCCAGCGGGTGGCATACGAGGCGAGAAGGCGAGGATGAGAGAGGTGTAGCCCGTCCAGCTCTTCAAGAGGGTTAGCTGGACAACCTGTGTGAACTGGAGGATCAGGCGCACCTCGTCATATATGGCGGTGTTGTCGGTCACGCCTGCGCGCTGGAGCGCAAGCCAGAGCACGGCCGCCTGCGAGCGGAAGATAGGCGAAGAGGCAAGGGGAGAACAGCAGGGCAGCGCAAGTCCAAGCTGGTCAGCCCCAAAGTAACGGTAGCAGAGCGCAAAGAAGGTTGAGTACGCACGGTCATCCCGCTGCCGCACGTCGCGGTAACGCTCTTCTCGCTCTGCTTGACTTTCTCCCACTTCTCCTTGCCGAGCGCGTCGACGAACACCTTCTCGAGCTCTTCAGGCTTGAGAACGGTGCGGTAAGGCGGTGAAGCCGACGATTCGGGCGAGAGGACAGACTGGAAGGGGAGGGAAAGTGAGTGAGGCATGTGGCCCGAGGAGAGCCCTTTTCAGGGCTCAGGGTCAGTGCCGTGAAAGCTGTATGGTTGGAAGTGAGCAAGTGCACAAACAGAAGGGCCCGAGAAGCGACGCACCGCCCTGCTGCCTGTGCGTCGACAACAACATCTCCCTTCTCGCCCTTCTTGATGTTCTTGGTCATGTCCTTCCACTGCCGCACATCAGTCTGCGCGCCACCGTCCACCGGGTACTCAGAGAAGTTCTCCTAGTTCTCCTCGATGTCATGTTGCAGCCAAGCGGTCTTAGGCACTCTCTTCTCCGCCGAACCCTCATAGGGCTGGGTTGTGCCAGTGGTCTGCCCTCGGGTCAGTACCCGCAAGCCCATCAAAACCCCGAGATCTTTTTGGCTCGCGGTTCGACCCTCGGCGGCGGCGCTCGCTCCTTTTGTCACTCGCAC